TTATCGACGGACAATTTCGCTTTAGGATATCGTGCTGTCATAAGACTCGATCTATTGATAAATTTTTCTGCACTTTACTGTTATTCTATCCAACACCAACAACCATCGATCCTTTTTCATGGTCTGAAGATTTTGGTACTAATAGTTTTTGTCTAGATGTTCAGTAACACACATGTCGACAGAGACATGACTGTAGATCTGTTGAAAGCAAAGCCTTGGGGATTTTTTAGGCCAACAAAATATAATAGATCTTTATAACCACAATTCTGTACTGGTATGAAATAGTCTTTTTTGCAGAGTATATAATCCCCAAGTCCAAGTCTAGTATTCATGTTGAGCGAAGGAATTTCTCATGACACGTGGATAATTTTATTGTTTTGATTTTTCGTAAAGTGTATGAAGTTCATCGTAGATCTAAATTCGAGCGTTTCCGATCATCATCCGCAATCTTCGTGCTTTAGGATCCTCATTTTTGCAAAGATATAATACATTGCTCTTGGCGAAGCATAACAAATATATAAAACTATAAAACACAATTTATTCACATGTTGCATACTCCTCATAAAACATATCATTGCAAACACAATGTCACAACGCTCTTGTTTGGTGGGGATTAAAATCAAATTTTTGGTTGTGAATTTCACGAAATATACGGTTAAAATTAATTATTAATTTCTACCGAATAGCGACAATGTTTCACACAAAATGGAGTTAATGTCAAAGTTTACAACAAAGTGTAAAATATTTTTTTGCCAATTTAGTGCTGTTTATGTTAATTTTCAATTGTCCTAAATGAAAACTAGGGAAAATTTCATATTTCAGGTGTATGGTTTACACCAATTAAAAAGTCAGGTAGATAGTTTAACAATTCAAAATTCAGGTATTAGGTAATTAATTAAAAATATTTATTAATTAGGTCACAATTATACAATTAATGGTCAAATATACATAATTATAAGTCACAATTTATTCATTGGTTACATATTATTAAATTAATTAGTCGCTGATGATTTCGAGGTCACAAGTTCAAAAAATTATAGGTCACAGTTAATTTCATTGGTCACATATTTTCAAATTTGTTGGTCACAGATTATTTTTCAGCTACATATTATCAAATTTTTATGTCAGAGTTAAATACTTGATCTCAAATAACCAAATACTTGGTCACATACCACTGGTACTATCACTTCAACCACTTTTGACCACCCTCACCTCGCTGCCGCCATCACTACCATAGTCACCAACATCACCACCACATCACCACCAGCAAACTCACCACCACAGCATCCAACCACACACTAGCAGTACCACCATTAACCAGATTCAAACCCAAGTAGATCTGTGGGTGTGGGGCGGCAGCGTCGCGTCCGATCTGTTGCAGGTGGGTGTGTGGTTGTGGTGGTTACTGTGACGACGCTAAGGTGGTTAGTGTCGCTTTGCTCTCCGTTGGTGATAGAGGTTAGTTGTAAAATGATGGTTGTGACGATGGTTGATCGGCCGGTGTTGGTGGTGATGTGCCGACTTTTTGGGTTTTCTTTTTTTTTTTGTTTACGTTTGTGAGTTTCAAATTGGAGATGGTGTTGGTGGTGTGGCGGTAAGGTGGTGTTACTACTGGTTGTCGTGGTGTTTGAGTAGTGGTGATGTTGGTGGTGGTGGTTATCGTGGAGGCGGTGGTAGTGGTCATGGCGACAGTGCAGAAGTGGTGGTGGTGGATCTAGTGATTTTGGTATTCTGTGACTAAAAATTAATCTGTGACCTTAAAATTCGCTAATCTGTGACTAAAAATATAATCCGTGATCAACTAATTTGTTATCTGTAATCTAAAAATTATATAATCTGTGACCGTGAAAAAATCTGTGACCAACTAATTTGGAAATATGCAACCGTGTGACTTAAAAATTTTGATTTGTGATCAACTAATTTTGAAATTTGTGACCTATAAAATTTTTGAACCATGACCGAAGAACAGTCGTCAGAGTGGTTGTCGATCACCAGAGTAGTCGCCAGAGCAGAGGTAGATGTGAGGTGAGGTGAGGGTGGGTTAATTTTATTATATTACAGTTAAATATTTAATTTAATATTATAATTGTGAAATATAATTAATTAATTCATGAAGAACCTGATTTTTGTAATTCTAAACCTTGGAGTCTGATTTTTATTTTGGGATAGATAAAGCTTGAATTGTGAATTTTTCCCTATGGAAAAACGATGGAGGTTTTGAACCCAAAAATTCANGGTGGGGTGGGGTGGGGGTGGGTTAATTATATTATATTACAGTTAAATATTTAATTTAATATAATAATTGTAAAATATAATTAATTAATTCATGAAAAACCTGATTTTTGCAATTCTAAATCTTGGGGCCTGATTTTTTTTATTTTGGGATAGATAAATCCCGAGTTGTGAATTTTTTCCCTTGGAGAAATACATCGAAAGCCAAAATTTAATATTTAAATTGGGCTTTCATTCTAGTCATGGGCCTTCAATATTTAAAAGTGAGATTTTGAAAATTTTATATATGTAAAGTTGGGTTTCCAAACCGTCAATTCAGAAATTAAAATAGCCTCATATCCAGATAAAACTTCTACTTTGATGATTTCAAGAATCCAAACTCACTAATCTCAATAGGCTGATGATTGAAAACCTCATTTTTAAAGGTTAAAAGACATAAAAGAATAATGATATTTATCGTTATGATGATTTGATATTGATAATATGACAATGTATATAAAATAATGAGATTGAACAGTTTGATTTTTTTGAGAGGGAAAGAGAGAAATATGAGGAATAATAAGTTATCGCATTATCAATATTTCATCACCGTGATGATAAATATCATTACTCGATTTGAAATCACCACCGTCAAAGGTGGTGGAACCCAATGCTAATTTACCCTTTATAATTCTTCTTCGTGGATAATCTTTGATAAATATATTATATACTTGTTTTAACTATAAATGTTTTAAATGTTTAGTATAGACAAAATTTTATATTTAAAATCAACAATACAATTTATAATTCTTGGTGGATAATCTTTGATAAATATAACCACATACTTGTTCAGTTAATTTTTTATTTTTAACGGGTTAAATGCTTAATATAGATAAAATTTTATATTTAAGATCAACATGTCTTAACCCAATCATAGTCTAAATCTATAAGTCCACATCATTAGAACATAGTTTTGCATTATTATGTCTACCTTGCAATATAATTCG